TGACCCCAATCCGGCCGAATATAAAGACAGAAGGAAACTTCTTTTAATAAAATTTTGAAATATTATATTCATTTGGCTTTAAAAACACATATTTTCCAGGCATCATCCCTACTTTTTGAGGAAAAAAGAAAAGTAAGACTAGAACATTTACATGTGGACCAATGTTATTATTATAAAAGTTAGGTGTCAATTCAATCTTGTCACCTTAAAAGTTAAGACTCCTATTTCCCATTACATATCATCAAGCATCCACAACTAATGCTCTCCATTAAAACAATAATACAATTAAAAAAACCTTCAAACCCTAGTCTGAAAACAACCACCCTTTTGTTTTTTTCTCTCTCTCTTTCTTTTGTTATCTTCTCTTCATCTCTCACTATACTAGCCTGTCATCCTAACTCACTTCATACCTCATTTTTTCTTTCTCCTCTCATTGCTAAATCTCTGACCATCTTCTGCCATTGGTTAGTTGAGTTTTCATTGACGGTTTTGGCCTATGAGTCAGTTCCAGCTTGTATGACAATGGTGTGAAGAAGACAACACATACTTTCAGCAATCTTTAAGCCTAACTCGACACTCCGAGCCGGGCCGAGTTGAACTGAGCAAGCCGAATCAGTTCGGATAGGTGGGCCGGTGGGATAGTTCGGCCTAGACTTTTATCAACCCAAAGAGATCGGTTAGGCCCAAACTTTTAGGCTAGCCAGGCTAAACCTGGCCGATTTACAACTCTATTTGAAATTATGTGTCCCGAATATGAAAATAATCTTATTGATTATTTATGGTAATCTAACAGATTACTCTCTGGCTATCCTGCCCGTGAATAAAGCGGGAGATGATCAGTCATATATTTAATAACCTGGTAGATTACTGACATTTATCTACCAAATTACTTTCTAACGACCGTTAATGGATGATGGCAGATAGCTACATCTGGCAGACTACTAATTATAATCTAGTAGATTATCTTTGATCAGCGGGCGCAATTTCAGTGTAATCCATTTAGTTGCTCTTGACTATTTTCTCATACGCGGGATCCAAAATTCCAATAAAAATAACAGAAATCTAAAACTGAATACCATCTGCCACATTCTTAAGCATACTTTTATATATGGATAAAAAACTAAAAAAATCCCTCGAGATAAGTCATTGTGCGACTCAATTATTTAAAATGATATAAATAATAAGCCCGCATAAAATTATGATAAATTGTGTACGTTTCTCTTAGAGAAAATTGTTGAACTTACATTTAAAGTGTATGGGTGTAAATGTTTATTCCGCACTCTTGATTAATACCATTTTGATTAATATAGCTATTTGACTAAAAATGATATTAATTAAGTGTAAGATGTAAAAATTCAACCCAAGCACTGTAAAGGTATTTGTTTCATTTTTCCCTTCGAGTAATTATATTTGCACCCACCAAATTCATTAATACCCCCCACCAATTCATAATTTACCTTTATTACAATTTTATCCTACAATAAAATATTGGTTTCCGAAACGATTTCGTATAAAACTTGATAATTATCTCCCACTTCTAATTGATTTTGGAACAAAATCCACTCTCTCCCTTATCCTATATGGCCGGCCACCACAAGCAGATTCCTCCCTATGGTAGGCGCAAATAGCAGGTAAGGAAGGAGGTAAAATTCTGTTTTTATTCTACAGTTCAATTTTGACTCAAATTCAAATTCTAATTTAAGTCAAACTTAATTTAATTTGAATTTCAATTGGACAACTTATCAAATAAGTCAATTAGATAACTTAAAGAGCAAGCAACTGAATTGCAGAAGGATTCACACTGTGCTAGGCGTGTACACTATGTGGACACCTCCACATGTGTGTTTCAAAATTCAAATTTAAATAATCACATTATTTAATTTGTAATTAATTCTCAATTATTATTATTGAGCGTTTTATTTTATAATTTCATAATTCTAAAATTTTCATTTTGCACTTTACAAGGACGATGCGGGGACTCATATACCTATAATTATGAGCTTCAATAAAATTAATAATTAATTAAAACTCTTTACCTAATTAATTAATTCTATTAATTCCAAAAAATTACTCCACTATAAACTTAGAATTGTACTCTCGTAATTATAGATATAAATTACTTCTAAACTGTGAAGTGTCCATTTGATATAGTCATTACATATAGATCGATCATCTATAAATAATTCATAATTAGAGTTAGGTGAAATCAATTAACCTCTCTAATTACATCTTTATCCTTGAGTACCATTGATTATCTAAGGGACATTAATTCATAAAATAAATTCATGAATCGGAGCTCATACTAGTCCAAGTACCGAATTAACCCTCAATGAAATTATTTATCTACTTCTTTCTCAAGAAGGATTAGAATCTATCTCGTTTATTAACATTCTCAACTATCCACTTCATCATGTCTCCCAGATATAAGGAATATGATTTAGCAATCTCAAAATCCATACCAAATAAGTCAAAAGACACAACCTAGAAATAATAGTCTGCTAATAACTCAAGATTAAGATCATTCTATATATGACAATCGATAGACTCAATTAGAATTTCTATACTTAACGAAAATTATCAAAAATTCATATTGTGTCTATGTCCTAATTCCACACAATCTCATTATGTGTAACACACTCATTTAATAGCTCGCCATATTAACAATGCGGATAACACCATTTTATTTTAAATGAGAACGACATGTATTAGTAATATTTTAATTAAAGATTCTGAACTTTAATAAAATTCATTACGAACATTGTTTTGATTATTATCCTTAAATATTATCATCTTGCATATAACACTTATATACAATATTTAAGATAACATAAATAATCACAAAATTTTTAGTGATATTCATAAAATATTCAATAATATATGCACATAAAATAATAAATAAACTTTTTTATTAAATAAATAATAAATATCTTATTCATCTCATACTTTTAGAATACTCTTCCCAACATAAAACTACATTAAAATCCATTATAAACCATCTGCTTCTTAACTCATTCCTATTGGTAAGGGCATTGAAAATCTAATGTTGGTGGCTATAGAAAACCGCATGAAATTGACTCCTCACACGCCCCAATCGGATGCATCTCGCAATTTCAACGAATAACCGTTGTCATAAGCTTTGCAGAGTGTTTTGTTTTTGAAGCGGAGCTTTGACTATCATCAATGCTATTTTTCTTGTTTTTGAGAATGCTTAACATAAGTTTTGACTTGAAAGTGATTCTTTCATGGTGATTTTACTTCTTAAATCAGGTTCTTTGGATGTGCCTTGCAAAATGCGGAATGAGTGGAATAGGGTTATTCATGTTATCTAAGAAAATGGTTTTTAGGTTTTTTTTTATGTATATAGAGAAGCTAGTTATTGTGCTGACAAGTTAGCTAATCTCGAGGTGATGAATAGAAATAAGATGCGGTAGATTTCTTATCCTGATTCTCTTGATTATTTTTGGTGTATATAGATGTTTTGGGTTGCCTTTTTACAGATTCTCTTGATTGAGTTTCTGTTTTTTGTTTTGTATTCTTTTCCTTCTTTAATAATATTCTCCTTTTTTTGAGGAAGTTTCATTCAAAAGCGAATAACTGTTGTCTAGACCCCAAAGCCGAGGCCGCGGTTGGAAAGATTTTGAAAAATTGCACGAAATTGGTCTCTCACACTCCCTAATCGGACGAACGAGCCCAAAGTTACTACCGTGCTTGCATTCCAAACACAATTATATGCACTTTGTCAACAATTTTAATTTAACCTAGCATTGATACAATGATATTTATGTTGCTTGCTTAAGTCTCAATATTCTTTATGATCTCCAAACATTTAGGACCTGTTGTGAATGGCTAAAAAATGAAAAAACTGCTGTTCACTTATTTAGTTCAAAAATTGCTTTTGAACTTGTTTAGATAGACATTAAGGACTTTTAGCTTTTATATGTCTTTGGAACAAGCTAACTCACCTGTGTGGTTTCTTTTCTTTTTTTCTCTTTAAAACTAATTTTTAGTAGACGTTTGGTTCATGAATTCAAAATCATGATTCAGAATTATTCTCGATTTACGTGTATTTTTTGTGAGACAAAATACTATAGCGAATTACGAATCATGATCCGAATCATGGCACGAATTCACCAACTAAATGCATTAGTGTTTAAGGAAAACATTGCGAACCATCACTCTAGCAAGTCCTACTAATGATGAATATAATCTTTGAGCTAGATTTTGATTGAGTAATCATATTCTCTAAATTCCATTATCAAAGTATATTATTGAACAACTATAGGAGGTGACCATGAAACAGTAATTGACTCGGGTTCACAAATCGCAACAAGGGTGGAAAAAGTTCTTCATATGTATATATTTTTTAATGAATAAAGCTTTCAGAGTTGCTTTGGAAAGAGTATTTGGTGATAGGGTTACTTTTCACCTTCCATGAAATTTCTTTAGAAGCCAACCATCAAATGTTTTTTTCTTTTTTTTACAGCTTTTTCTTGCAAGTTCGAGTTTGGACCAGGCAGAGAGGCAGGCGTGCTTTCCGAAAATGCTAAGATTTCCCTCCAAAGTCCAATGCCCACTTTACAGCCAATTTCCTGTGTAATAATATATAACTGTCGTCAACCATGCAGTTTTGTTCCTTTGCTTTGCTCATAAAAGTTACAGAAAGGAGAAAAAAGTGAAGGAAAAAAGAAAGTGCTACATAAAACTTTGATAGCACATGCTAAAGATGCTCTTGTTTAAGTCAGCAAAGCTTAAACTGGATTTCGTAGAGATTAATGATCCATAAAACACAACTCGGTGAGGAGCGGAGCAAAACCTTCCTCACGAACGATAGTCGGTCGCCCCACTTGATTTTTATTCTCTTTTAATTTGTATGTATATTTTGTTAAAATTTATAATTTAAACCCCTAAAAATCTGCTATTATATATGCCTGCCCTCCTTTAAAATCTGAAACTATAAGCAAAAAGAAGTATCCGTTAAAAAAAAAAAAGAAGGAAGAAAATTTATACAATAAGAGATAATTTCATTCTATAAAAGACAATAACAAGCTCAAACTTACACGCTACATTTATACAATCATAGCTTCCAAAATCAAAACGTTAAGAGATTAGAAAACAAAGGACAAGTTGTGCACGGACTAAGCATTTAGTCTTCATGAGGTTGGCATATAGCAGCGTGTGTGTGGCGACGTGTCACAATTTGGCGTTGAATGCTTGAAACTTTGGCGCCTCGACTGGGCACCGGAGTTATATATATATATATATATATATATCTTCTCTGAAGCAGAATTGACAAGTCTTGTCCACTGTCAATCAGTCCAATTTGCACTGATTATTCTCTCACAATCTGTGGAAAAAGAGAAGCAAAATAATGGAGCTTGTGTCGTGTACATGTTGTGGTGGTCACAAGCAATGAGAGCCATTTGCCTTTGCCCATCTGCACATGCTGTCTGTCCCCAAATTCCCTTCTTTCCGTGTTCACATCCACACACATTGTAACCCATACTTAGCCCATCATTTTTTCCACTAAGCTTTTTACAAATCACAAAAGGCCAACTAAGCAACCCTCTTTTTTTTTTTTTTTTTCCCTAGCTAGTCTGGCAAACAAGCTTACACTACTATGCTTATGGGGTTATATATTACATGTCAAATATATTTATTAATATGTTATAGACATTAACATTAAGTTCAACCTTTTTATTATTATTACTATGATTATTATTATCAATTTGATTGTTGTTGACTTGGGTTTTGTAAATTGCATGGTGTGATATTTATAGAGCTGGGGCTACTGAGGGAAGCTGAGATGCCAAGGCAAGGCATTGAAGGTGTCTTGGGCAAGTGATCAAGTGGTCGTTTGTGAGGCCAGCTGCTTGCATAAATGAGTAGATAACTGTGGGGCCCACAAACCGAAATCCTCTCCTCACCATGTCTTTGCTTATGCTCTCTGATTTTGAGGTCTTCACTGGGATCTTCTGGCATGATTTGTATTGGGTAGAGATTAATTTGTTATTCACAAATCCCCACAAGTACTTGTTCAAGGACCCAAATTCTTTCTTAATCTGCAATATCAGTTGAAAATTAGTAACAGAAGAAAAATTTCTTTAGGAACTTTTTTTTTTTTTGGTTGCACCATGGCTACTAAGTGACTAAATCCTAGCAATATTTATTGCTACTGAAAAGTTGAAAACTATACTCTAAGGTTTTGATTCACTTAGTAAGAGAAAATAAGAATTTGGTTCTGACTATTTTAGGAATACATTTTAATCCAAGTAATATTTATGGTGAATTCATACCAAGCTCTCTTCAAAGAAAACAATGGTCCCAAAGTTCCCATTTGCAGATTATTTTTAACTTATAAGCAAATGCATCAGAAAGATGTTTTGCATCAAGGGTATTCTGGAAAACAGAGCAAGTGGATGAAACTAATGAAGTTTGTTTGTTTTTTTTTTTTTTCCTTTTAAATGTGTACCTCAAGAATTCGGTTAGCATTATCGACAGCTCCTCGAATAAGGCTTAGTTCAATGCCGTAGTCGGCGCCAATTGAGGTGATCTTCTTTTCATTATACTTAGAAACTGCTTCTGCATCAAACCCTGAAAAGGCATTTCTGCATAAAGAAGATGGTCCCAGAACCACAAGGATGAGTACTAATCAATGTCAACAACCAACAAAAAAAAGAAAAAAAGTATATAGTTAAATGATGAACAAATGAAACCCCACCTGAATATTTCTCTTTTCTTCAATACTGAAGTCCAATCTGATCCAACTTGAGCTCCAGTCAATACTAGCAATTCAAACAACAGCCTATATATGTTTGTAACAAACAGTTAAAACATATAATATATATGTTTAGTGTTTTTATGTGGAAAAAAAAAGAGAGTTGAGAGAATAGAAAAGCAAGTATTTACTTGTCATCATGGACAGGGACACCCCATTCTTCATCATGGTAAGCAACATAGATAGGATCTGCACAAACAATTATCACTTTTGTTCATAAAGAAACGAAAGGTATCTGAATTTGAGCAGTATATAATTTATGGTGAAGCTTCAATACCTGAATTAGGAGTTATGTAACTGCATCTCTTTTGTTCTTTACCAACCGAAGAATCGAGCATCGGAGCCACCACCTTCCCTTCAAACTTGGCAGACTTTGTCCTTCCATAATGCGCGATTCGGATCTTTCTTTGCTCCTGCATTATAGCAACTTGCTCTCTCCTTGCAGCAGCTATGCTTCCCGGAGCCTCAACTATCAAAGAGGAAGAGTTCTTCAAAGTCTCGGCAACAACTCCAGCACCACCACACTTCTTTGACTTCTTAATTGAACTCGTCGACTTGATTATGCACCGCGGTGTTAGGACCTTCTCGGCGCTTGAATTCAGCTCATAATTAGGATCTTTTCCTCTCTTGATAGCCGGGGGCCTAGGCGATGGCAGCTTGGGAGAGACAGGAGGGGAAAGTGTTGAAGGCTTAGTTTTGCAAGCTCCATTTTGGATTGGCAAGGCTAGTGGTGGTGAAGTAGGAGATTTTGGTGTAGTCTTTTTGAGTGACATTCGTCTCTCCAAGCTCGAAACTCGGTTGCAAGTCGGTTGAAGAACCGGGCGGCCATTGATCTTAGGCTCGGCTGAAGTTATGGTGTTAGTACCAAGGAGAGTTTTTGGTTTAGATGAACACATTTTGGTGTGCAAAAAATTAAGTGGTGGCAAAGAAAGCAAATGAGGATTGAGAAGTTGAATGAAGGAAGGACTTAAGGAGGGGTTTTGGGGGGTGAAGAGAAGTGGGGTTTTATAAAAAAGGAGAAGAGTGGGGACATGAAAGGCAAGTTTGGGAAGTTTGGAACATGGAACATGGAGGGGTTGGGGTCTGCCATACACACCCTTATGTGAAGGGCATTACTTTTTGGCTAATGCGAGCTTAAGGCTGAAAATGACAACTTTCTAAAAGAGTCAATTAGATTAGTTTCTTTCTTCGTTTTTTTAGGTAATCTAAAAACCATACCTCATATTTTGAAGTGTATCATATTTATATCTCCATATCTCAAATTCTTGTTAACTTAATACCTTTTACGGTTAAAGAGATTAAAAGAACTAATATCTTTCACATTCTGAAATTTTAGTCTTTTCATATTTCTTTTCTTATTCTTTTTCATTTATTTCTCAAAAGATGTTTGGATATTTTTTTGTGATCAAAATTAACGTTGACCAAGAAAAAAAAAAAGAATTCGCATAAATTTGAGAACTCGGGGTATAATTGTGATACAATCTATGTTTATTATTATTATTATTTTTTTGATAATGTCGAAATGCATGGCATGAAAATGATAAAAAAAAAAAAAACCCATTAGATTATACATACTTGGTCAGTTCTTGTGAACTCAAAAAAAAAAAAAAAAAAAAAGAAAGAAAGAAAAGGTGTTGTGGGATAAGCAGTGGTGCCACTGCCAGCCCTTTTAGGGGGACCACTCCTTTTCTTTCCCTCAAAACGGTTTGTGCTTTTACTGCTCAATGTATCCATGAGTTTTCTATCCTAAGCTGGAGTAGGGTCAACTAAAGTGACCAATCAATGCTTCTTTTATTAGCTGGCTTAAAACAGAACCCAAAAAAAAAAAAAAAGCCATTGCTTATCCTTTTAATTCAATATCCAATTTCCCTCTATTATACTTCTCTACCGCTTTTTTCAGTATATATCTTGAAATTAATATTATGGTAAGGCTATAATATCAATACCATCCAAGCTTACTCTTATGAAATGGACCAACCTTGGTTTTTATATTCTCCCTCTTATGTGTGGGTTGTATAATGAATAATCATATAGTAAATATCAATCGCATTCGAATGCCAATTGAATAGGCTCAATATGTGAATATTTAATTCTAGGGTGAGTTTAATTGTGGAATGAGTTTATTGTCATTATTTTGTTTACTCTTTTGGCATCTTTTCTAAAATCACCCCTCATTTAAAATTTAAAAGCTAAAATACTGCTTATTAAAGTTCTTAAGGTGTGTGAAGAGTCTTTTTGTTAAGTACTTTTATCTTCAAAAGTAATTTTATTCGCGGGTAATTTTATAGTAACACAATTATAAAGGAGTGTCGGCAGAATAGAGTTAGAGTGACGATAGAATCTCTCATAGTTATAAGTTCAAAAATGTATTAAAAATTGAGTACCTGATGATAATTTTAAAGAATGCATATGTAGCGTTCTGCTTTCATACCATGCAAGTTTATCAATTATCTTAAAAGTTTGAGTTTTTAGAGACTCACCTTCATTGGTTTATTTATTATTCTAACATGTAACATGTAAGAGAGGAGAGAAGTTTTCATATAAGTGGGTTCCAAAAGCCGTGTGTATGTCATCTGCAGTTGAAGTTGTGGGATGAACCTCAGGCACACTTTCCAATCAAGTGTCATTTCTTATTTGGATCCAGAAACAATGGAATAAATTATACTCTTTTATGTTGAGATGAGTTAGGGAAAAGATGTACCATTCATGACTTGAACAAAATCTAGACAGTCAAGTGATCATGGCTTAGGTAGATAAGTTCACTTTGGTCCCAAACCAATCCAACATTTAGATCAACTTGGGCGGCCAAGTTTGCTCTATTTAAGTTTTTAGAAGTATTTTTTTTTTTTTTTGGTTGAAATTTTTGCTTCCTAAGAGAACAAGCCATGTGGGTTGGTTTTTCCTCAAATATATGCTGCATAATAGGAGGCATTTGGAAGACATACTTTTGCAAATAAACATTTATTGTATTTGCTTGGAAGTTCCTCTTTGTCTTATTAACGTGACAATGGGGAAAAAGGGCAAATATTTATTATTAGTTCATTATTTTCCAGCTTTTTAACCTATTTTCTCATATAAGTTAAACTTTGTATTTTACATGTACGGATATAAAAAGCTCAGCCTGCGAATCTATTTCGCAGCACAAAATTGATCACTTATGACAGAAAGAAACTTGGTTTAATTTGAGTTCTATTTCATTATTTATACGTGTTTTTTTTTTTTCCCTATAAGAAAATGTTAAAAGGGAAAACAGAGTAGATGCGATAGTTACTCCATTTACCTATAGGAAAATTTTTCAGTGCAGGACAAGTGAAATAATTTTTTTGTTCTTAAAACTTTTCGTAATATGGTACTTTCATCTTTAAGTTTTTTTTTTTTCTCAGCACTTTAGTCCCTAATTTTTTTAATTGCAATTAACTACATGAGCAAGTTATAATTAACTACAATCGTTACTATGAGCAAGTTATAATTATAGAAATAAAAGCGCCGAATTATGAGAATTTCAAGAGTACTAGAGGCGCTAAAAATTCTTGCCATGTTTGTTTTACTTGTTCAAATTGTATATTGATTTAAATTAAAAAATATAAACTGTGTGGTTTAAATTACAAACGTGCCCCACTCAACTATATGTGCTCCTACCCCTAATTAGTTTTCAACCAATAAGAAATCATCCATGAAATTTTATGAGTTTCTGTGTTACAATTTGTGTCTTGGAGTTGACATGTGCACATGATCATTTTGCGGTATTATCACTCAAGAAACCAATACAAGGAGAGGGACTAAGTGGGGTTCTACTGGCTGTAACGCGAACATATATATAATATGTGGCCATAAACCTCCCTAGTTACAATATGTACTTGTGTAATTGGGAAATATTGCTCATACAAATTGAGCAATATTTAAAATTATAAATAGATAGAATACACTGCTTCATTAACCATATTTTGAGAATGACAATGAACACTTTCAGACATTATGCCCATGATTAGGGGGTCATGGTGATGTTCTTTGAGGCTTGTAATGACTCTTGAGATAATAAAATTAATCCACACCACACACGTCACATACACATTGCATTATTGGTGTATGTACGAACAAACACCAAATGCTCAGTTTGTCTATTATGCATGCATACGCGTGCATACATATATATATATATATGTGTGTATATATATATATATATATATATATATATATATACACACGCACACATACTATATAATTCACATTTTTGTGTGACGTCCCGACGGGGAACAAGAAAGACCAAGAAGCCCCATCTATGATTGGAGAAGTTCGTTTATAACATATACATATACATACACACACATTTACTACATATATACATATATGTGTGTTCTCTACATATTTATATATATGTATATATGTATATATGTGTGTTTGTGGGATCTTAATTTTATTTTTGCTATGGACATGACGAAACAACGAATATGTATATATGGTGATCGCTTCATTACAGTTACTCGAAATGTATGCATTTTTTCGGGAAAAAAAAGAAAGAAAGAAAAGGGATTAACTGTTTTATACATACAGTCACTGTATATATGGCATTGTTGCCACATGATGTATGGTGATGCTTTCATTAACACGACTACTGTATTATTTTATGCATATATGGTAACTCTTTTGATTGGAAACATGTATAGATTGAAAAAGTATTTGGTCTAATTGGGTTAAGGCATTTTTTAGTTGTCCTTGATTAATTGACATGCTAGTAGGATATGATTTTGAACGTTTATAAGCTTTTAAAGACAAAATTTAAGATTCATGTGAATAAGTGATCTCAGATAGAGAAATCTAGCAACTTTTAAGACATTAAACAGCATATATGTTCAATTCGATGTATACGTATACATATATATGTGCGCGCGTGCGTTTAGTAAATACATATAGGGTGTATATATAAATAGTCTTGTACTTGTATATGTTAAAGTATAAAACTATTGTTGGCCCACCTCCTAATAACTTAAGTTTTTGCGATAGATTGGTAAACTAACATGGTATTAGAACGGGAGGTCCTGAGTTCAAACCTCCGTAATTGCACTCTCTATCCCCATTTAAATTGTCATCATATGTTGGGTCTTTAATATATCTCGGACTTAAATATTCACATATTGGGCTTTCTAATTAATTTACCCACATGATTGCCCATTGTTCAGCCCACACGTGAGAGGGAGTGTTAAAGTATAAAGCTATTGTTGACCCACCTCCTAATAGCTTAAGCTTTTGGGATAAATTAGTAAACTAACAGTATATACTTAGTACTTATTTTATATTTCGAATCTTTTTTATCTTCATATATATTTTGAACTACATACCAAAATGGAGTAGGTATGAAAGTATTACTAGATTATGACTTCAACAAATACTACATACATACAAAATATACAAGTTAATTAGCTGCTAAATTAAATCCGTTCAATATTCTACATTCGCATATGTAATGGAAAAGAACGGGAGAAAAATAATTTAGTGGTGATGTTTTGCACTTAGGTGATGAGCTGTTTATTTGGAGACATTATTGATTACCTTGAAAAGCAATAAAAGGGAAAGTCATTGTCACCATTTTCCGTGTTTTCTTTGCGTCGATAAAGCACTAGCAGGTGGACCTTCTTGTTGGTTTAATCTCACTGTGTCAGTGACATCCTACTTATGCATGCATGCATGCATCATATATGTGTATATATATGTATGTATGTATGTATGTGTGTGTGTGTGTGTGTGTATTATAGGGATGTATGATTATCTGTATGGTACAACATCATCATATTATATACAGAAAAAGGGAATTTGGAAGATGAATATACTAATCATGCATGAGAGTGATGTGGATGTCGGTACTCTTATCAAAACAACAAAAGAGAATGAGACAACGAGTCATATTTTTAGATCAATTCAAACTGATTTCCTTTTTTTTTTTTTTTTAACTATAATAAACCGTACAATAACTTCAATAATTCTATATGTATTAAATGTATTTTGATGCATTCATCAGGAAAAAAAAGAAAGAAAAGAAAAGAAAATAAAGAAAGAAAAAAGCTAATTGACATGGTATATATATATATATATATATATATATAAGTATATATCTAAGTATTCCAGAAAGAAAAAAATTAACATATATATATATATATATATATATATACACACGTGATGGCTATGAGTATATTGACGTATTATTCCCTGTGAAAATTAAAAGGTTTGAGAAAAAAATACTGAGAGTTCAACTCTCTTATTTTCTCTCATTCTCTCTAGAGTGTCCACAGACTAGGTGCATTCATAGATAAGAATACTGCAAAAATGCTAATACTTTGGACTGCTTGTGATTGCACATATGATCTTCTGTAAATAAGTGTTAATAACCTTCACTTTAAGGCAATACGAAAATCTATAGAAAAATAAAATAAAACAATAAAAAAAATACTATTTTGCCCAACTGAGAAATATGTTTGTATTGGAGCCCACAGGAAAAATATTGAAAATTATTGTTGAGAGTTACAAGGCGTTAGTTAAGGACCTTCTTCGGCTTGAAACTAAATTAACCATCAATGTCATCCATATAGATTAATTAAATAAGTGCTCAATATGTTATCCTTATGTATTTATTTATTTTGGTTATCACACTTCAAATCAGGAACCGGATTTTGCTGTGAATAACTTACTAGCTTCATGGCAGGCATCTCCGCATGAGAATCCAAAAATCTACACATGTTACATTTGTTCTTTTTCTCCCTCTCTCTCTCTTTCTTTTTTCTGAGATCTTTGTTTTTCCCCCTGATAATATTGCATTTGTACTTAAAATAATGTGGCACAAGTAAAAACCTTTTGACTTTATAAGCTTTATTATTTTTCTTTACACTTGGATAGATGCATCATACTATGATTAGAGTTCTTCTAATGATATCAGACATCTATCTCTTGATGGAGAAGCCCCCAGCTATATATTATCTTGGCCCCAAAGCACACCAAGAAAACTACTCGATTGTAGCTTCTGCAGTTCATGAACCTTCAAGTCGGCCCCAGCGCTTCTGTCGGTTTAATCGCGATCTACAATGGGGGCACCTACTTGAAGTTAGGGGGGCAGTAGTTGGTTAATATCGGATTCGATGAAGGCTATCCGAGGAGCAAATAAGCAGGTTTATGATAAGCCTTCTGTGCGGTTCACATATGCTCGAAGGAGAAGGGGCAGGAGGGAAAAGCTGAGTCTGCAAGATGGTCAAGTAATAGGCCAGCAAAGTAGTTAAGGGACGGGAAGTTAGTTAGGCTGGAGTCTGTAAAGGGGAATATAGGTAGGAATATAAATAAGATAGAGGTAGGCTAGTAGAGTATTATTGCAGTTTGTTATTCTTCGTAGGAAGTTTGTTAGGAGAGCACAGGATCTCTCGAAAATCCCCATACCAGTCTTTACTCTTTTCTGTAGCCATTGTTGATTCTTGATTCCAGTAATACAAATTCTCTTCCAATTTGCCATCTTTCTGTGACAATCGATTCTGGAGCTTATCAGTTTAGTTATTAACTATACTGAAAAAAGAAAATCAGCATCTCAGAGGAATTAGTACTCGACTCAAACATATGCTGATTGGAAAAGATGTTCAGCAACCTACATATAGAACTCATAAACTGACACGAAGAATTCTCAAAGACAAGAAAGTGTATAGTTTTGACACCATAAATACTTTTAAGTACTATATGAATCAGTAACCAGATGAAATCAAAATATTACTAGATTATTTAAGAGAGAATATATAATGAAACATGAAATAGTCAAGGTCTGCAGCAGCCATCCAGGTCCAGTAAAGATGTGCAACTTTGGATTACTTCCACCACCGGGCTCTTTTTCTTTCTGCCCATTTTTCTCGTGCTTTAGCTCTCTCACTCGAGCTTCCACTTCCACGAACAGAAACAAGACTCTTTATATAGAAGCAAAATGAAGGATCTATTTTACCATCAGCACCAATGTTCCGAAGCTTTTTGGTGCGAAGGTTGTAGGATATCAACCTTTTATCGTCATCTTTCATGAGGAGCTCATCGCTATTCCAGAATGCCAAAGAACGTCCAAGACCAACTAGTGGTCCAATGACTAGATGTTTTTTCCATGGTCAAGCTTCTTTAGCCAGATCTGGGCTCCATGTAAAAGAACCTTCATCACACTTAGCAAGATCATATTCATCCATAACCCATATTTCAATGGATACTGAATTCGGATTCTCTCTTTCTTTATTATAGTCAAGAAAGGCAATCGAATCATTCCACAACAAAAAGGACGTCCAGCTTTTGATAGCATCTGGGATCGGTATACTATGAAATTTCTTAGTTGACATATTGAAACAAAGGATAACAAAGTCCTCCTTATAATCTTCCATTCCCCAATAACAGCATCCTTTGCAATACAGTTAATCATACTGACTCGTAAGTTCACAGTCTGGATTAAGGACGTCATGCATATTGATTTGCCTCCAAGCATCCTTACCAAGGCTATATAACTCAGCTTTGAAATATAACTCAGCTTTGAATTTTGACCCCTTAAAGATCCTAATAAAATGATAATCGTTAGCTACAGAGTCGTATCCAAATCCTACTGCCACACACGAATAGTTATTGGAATTCTTCGATTTCAGAAGAAGCTTAGCTTCCTGCAACACAGGATTACACAAAAATCACATCCCAGCAATAATCCCCAACCACACAAAGGATCCCATCACAATGACAAGCAACCTCCCAATTAAGCCACCTACAGAGTCCACCCCAAGCAAGTGGAAAGTTGAGAAGTTCAGTGACGGAACGAGCACGGCCGTTTTCATGATCATCACTAAATGAGGTGAGCAACAGCCTTCTGTGTCCAGAGCAGATTGTGGGGTCATGGTAGTCGTTGGGGCAAGAGGGACTTAAGACTAAGGATGCAGAGGACTCGTTGTTGCTCAAATTGTGGAGGTGCTTTGTCACAAATTTTTTGTCTTTGATGAGGTCACGAATCAGGTCATACCAGAACTCGTTAACGCGCTTGAAACGTATCAAAGAGTCGGCGGGTAGCCACGAAAATATTATCTCCAACATCTCTTTCGGAAAATATGGGCAGAAGCTCGCCGCCATTTCTGATTCCAACACCACAATCAGCCTCAGCACATACCAAGTAAGGTGCGAAACACAATCATTCCTAAGAGAAACTTAATGAAATTTCGGCTGTATATTCAGCAGAAACCATAACAGCTTACTAGTTAGTAACTTATAGGCATATGAAACAGGATAGAAATAGGAAAACATAGGTGGGAAAACAAGTGTAAGTGGTTATTTACATTACCAAAAAAAATTGCATCTTTAAACATCTCAAACAGAGAGAACCAAACACCATTACAAGGGAATACACAATTGGCAGTGCAAATAATTTCACAAAACACTCCCCTACTTGCTCCATTTTCATTCATTCTTTCTTTCTTAATAAACCCATTTTCTACTTCAAAAAAAAAAAAAAAAAAATGAGGATGTTGCAACGTTAGAAAAGAAATTGTGAAAAATAGGAAGCACTACTCTAAATAAAATAACAAATATTGAAGTGGGGATAAACTAAGGGGAAAAAAAAATTGGCTAATGCAAAAAACTTCCTATTTATTCTCAAAATAAGATTTTCACTGCGAAATAGATAGAAAAAAATTAGGAAAAAATTTTCCAGTACAAAATGCGATTATTCATTAACAGTAGCGTTGTAAAATCACACGAAAAAGAAGCAGAATTTTTTTTGCATTTTCAAATTAAATCTTTGTTGCAACTCATTTTCAGTGTAAAAATATGTAATTTCGGTCTTGATGAGTCCAACCCTGACAAATGTATGAGAAGATTAACGGAAGAAAACAAAAGATAACCGAGAACAATATATTTAGTGGAGAGAGGCATAATTACCTGCAGTGCAGACAAGAAAAGGATTTTTGCTTAGCGATTGTTTGGGACTGATGGGCTTTCTTGTGATGGTGGAGGATCTCACTGTCTCGACCTAAAGTAAATTTATTATTAAGATTAATTACAAAAATTCTCCAAACTATTTATGTGTAACACCGGGCCTTCAATTTTTAAATGGCAGCATCAGTTCTCTGAGAAATGAAATAATAATAAAAAAACCCTTTTTTCCGTTAGATTTTTTTTTTCTTTTGGCTGAAAATGATTTTTCTTGCGTTACCAAAAAAAAAAAAAAAAGATTTAAATTTTAAAATGAATAAAAAATGTGATTAATTTCTTGCGTTTATTGTTTATAATTGTTTTTTGGTTGAAATTATGAATCTTATATAATTTCTTAAGAATGACAAGGAAGGATGCCATTTAATTTCCATCTTAATTCAGAGAATGTGCACCAAGATTGGACCACAAATTACATGCGCACCCTGTAACATCAAAATTTCATTTATAACGAAAAGACGAATAAAATCCTATTTATATATTCTATTAAAATCTTTCATCGCTATTAAGTTTTTATTAAAATGCTATTTAAATACAAATTAAAGTTTTAACCCAATCAAACGCAAACTTAAATAGATTTTTAATTTATATCATAACTCAAATGTGCACATCAAAACAATTACAACTTCAACTCAAATCATAACTAAAAAATGCAACCGAATAAGCCCTTCATGTTTTAGGAATTCATTTTTTTTAAAAGTGATCATTCATGATCGTCTTGTAATTATTTTATACATAAAAATTTTAAAAAAATTATTTTACTAATAAATTTTTTTATTGAGTCATTTTTATAAAGGGCTCCTGAAAACTAAGTCAAATGTTTAGCTGAATTGCGTGGTTGCCTTTGGACCTCACTAGACAGTTGTAATTTGTCCCTTAATTTTTTAATTTTTGAAAATTTACCCTAATAAATATACAAATATAGCAAAGCATCCCCAATAGATAATGGTATTCATTTTTCAACGGGAATTGATATGCAACTTGCACATGGGTTAATGATTAAGACCACGAAAGGTCTTTTTTTTTTTTTTAACCAACGTTAGCTCAAATTTATAAAAACAATGTAAATTTAAAAAATCTCTTTTGATAAAACTTTATTAATAGAAAAATATAAAAATATCACTCTAAAATTATCATCTTTATATTTATATCACTCAATGACATAAATTTAACATTTATGTCACTTAATTCATTAAAAACATATCTTGATAGGAATCAAAAATATCCTATCAGATTATTTTTTCTCAACAAAGATGACAAGACATCTCCAGCTCCGGTTTCAAGGAGTATTCTAATAAAATATCAAAATTATTTCTATTATTTTCCTTCCGACGAAATTTTTTGTTTCTGAAAAAAATGGAACAAGAAAAAATATTCCAACAGTAGTTTTGAATGGGAAGTTTGGTTTTTTTTTTTTTTTTTTTTTTTTTTTTTTTTTTTTTTTTTTTCCTGCAATTAGATGGGCTTCTGTTAAATTTTCTTTTTCCCATTTAGCCGCTCTGTGAACTTTGAATAATTTTTGGTTGTTATTTGGAAGAATACATTTCGCTGAAATTTGGATGTGTTTATTATATTATATTAGTAATTTCAAATCTCTTCCATCTTTAGGAAGTATGCGTTTTGAATCTCTCAAACCTTTTTTTCTTCATTTATGCTGTTTTATTTATTTCTGAAGAGGGATGCTCTGTTCCAAATTAAAAATTTATATTTTCTTGTAGTTTTAATTATCTGTAGGACGCGATATGAGTAATTTAGTTGATGGAATTTAGGTAATAATACAAACAAGACAGGAAAATGTATAAATAAATTAAAGGGCCCACTAGCTAAATACATAGAAGTGAACAAAATTATAACAGGAATTTTGCATGTGAATTAGTTTGGTTTTCTTATGGATCAATTCCTGGATGGGGGTTGCTTCTTTTAAATGTTTTGGATTATGAAATAAAGTTTGGCTGAATCTTATAAGAAAAATATGTAGCATAAATGGTGATGACATTATTTCTTATTGGGAAGCAAAAACGACAAGCTTCCACAATCTGCCGGAGGATGCTGTGCATGACATCTTTTCGCGGCTCCCTGCCGACGCTTTGGTACTATTCAAGCGCGTTAGCAAGTCTTTGGTACACTCGTATTTGTTCCCTAATCAAAGACCCACCATTTGTTTCCAAGAATCTCGAAAATTTCAAGCACAAGTCCTCTTCATCCTTAATTATCCGTCGCCCTTGCCCCCCTAAAGGCCAGCAAACAAATAACTACTATGAACAAACATTCTCATTGATGATGGTGACAATGATCGCTGCGGTTCTTTAATTGTGATGGGATCATTTGCCTCATGATTGGCGGGTTCAATGTCATTGCGATGGGATCATTTGCCTCATTAAATTTGATGGAAGTGATGTTATGCAATCCAGTATTACAAGAGTTCAAGCTTGTGCCGGGATCAAAGACTCGTGTGAACAATTTTAGCTGTGGAGGAATAGGATTTGGATACGACTCCAGAACTAAGAATTATAAGCTTGTAAGACTTCACGAGTATTGTACAGAAGCCGGAGATGAGGTGCGCATCTTGGGTTCTAACTCTTGGAGACAGATTAACGTTTCTCAAGATGTAAGAATTACAGATCAATATCAATACTTACATTGGAAAGGAGATTGTTATTGGCAAGTGCAGGATCATATGGCTGAGTTACTTGAGTGGGAGATCCTTTGTTTTGATATGGCTGATGAAATATTTTATTCCGTGTCATTCCTAACCAATGAACTGGACATTGCATCATTTCCAGTGTGGAATGACTCATTTGCTTTGTTTTTATGTACTCAAGAGATCAGTGAGAATTCAGATTTAACATCCTACGAAATGTGGAATATGTTAAAAGGTTGCTCTCCTACAACCTTAATACCCAAAAGCTTAGGGATATTGGGATGGCTGGGCCTATGTATCATTTGCCAATTTGTTTCACTTTCTACGTCAAGAGCTTGGTTTCTGTCAAAGGATGAGAAAACACTATATGTTGAGAAAATGGAGAAGATTAAACAGAAGAAAAACACAACGGATGAAGTGATTTCAAGAGAGATGTTATTACTCAAGGGTGCACCTGTTTGTTTCTTTGTTCCTGTCAATTTAGTGTATCTTACTCTCATCAAATCATGTGTAAAAGCTGTGCTTTCATGATTTTCCCTTTCACGGCGTGTTCTGAGTCTAAGATCAATTTACAATTATATCATGATATTCACCATGAATGAAGACATCTTATAATGAGCCCTCAAGAACGACACTTCCAACAAATATTGCTCTTTCCAGCTTTATATATCATCAAAACATGGATTACAGTATCATCAACAAACTCATTATTACTAATTGAATAGAAGACCAATTCCTTAATCTGACCGGCACAACACAAATTCGGTATCCAATAATTTTTAAATAGGAGGAAAACATTAAGAATAGATATTTAGTATAATTCGTCTGTACTTTCTTGAAATGTTTGATATTCACCATGAGTGAAGACATCTTATAATGAGCCCTAAAGAACGACACGTCCAACAAATATTGATCTTTCTAGCTTTATTATCATCAAAGCATGGATTACAATAACATCGACAAACTTATTATTACTAATTGAATAGAAGACCAATTCCTTAATCTGAACGGCACAACACAAATTCGGTATCCAATAATTTTTAAATAGGAGAAAACATTAGGAATAGATATTTAGTATAATTCGTCTACACTTTCTTGGAATGTATGATATTCACCATGAATGAAGACATCTTATAATGAGCCCTCAAGAACGATACTTCCAACAAATTTTGCTCTTTCTAGCTTTATATATCATCAAAACGTGGATTACAATATCATCAACAAACTTATTATTACTAATTGAATAGAAGATCAATTCCTGACCGGCATAACACAAATTCGGTATCCAATAATCTGTAAATAGGAGAAAAATATTAGGAATAGATATTAAGTATAATTTATTTGTACTTTCTTGGAATGTATGATATTCACCATGAATAAAGACATCTTATAATGAGCCTTCAAGAACGTCACTTCCAAGAAGTATTGCTCTTTCCAGCTTTATATATCAACAAAACACGGATTATAATATCATCAACAAACGACAAGTGATACTTTATTTCTCTATTTAACTAGCTCACTGTATTTGTATCTCTTTCCATTTGGCAAGTGTCAAATACAAGTGAATGTAAATAGATTACCTTGGAAGATTTTCGTAAGAAGCTCTTGAAAACGACAACGATACTTTATTCTTGTTTCTTTGATGATAAATGAAGAGAGAGAAAAGTGGTAAACAAAAGCTAGCTGTGATTACTGCTACTATTTTTTTTTCCAAACAATACACCGGAGGATATATATTTGATTTGTTAGAGCCTAGTCAAATGAAAAACTACCAAGTATTATTACATATCACGCGCTTTTAGACTAATCAAATAAATAGGATGTAGCATGAGAGGACAATTACCCACTGTCCAATTTTCTGTTATTTAGGAAGATGACTTTTTGATTGAATACAAATAGAAAAATGCTCAAAGGTGCTTTAGAGGTACCGTCGCGAATCGGAAGATTCACCTTTTATCAGTGGATGGTGCAAAGAACATTGTCTAAAGATTGCCATCGTCAGTATTTTGATTTGCTAAGAAATTTTGACAATAATCCATCGAAACTTCTTTTAGAGGGTGATATTGTTGGTCTGTTTGTGATAACTTTGTAATCAATTCATGGAAGACACCACCTCTATAAAGTTGCTCCATTTGCCCGCTCGTGTAAGAGTCTCATATCCTGTAATTTACCGCATAGTTCTTTTATTGAGCATAAAATTGAGATTGATTAATGTTTGTAGGGCCCGTCAGTAACTATGTCGTTTAATGTACACCCACTAATACTCGGACCTCACCAATATACGTAGGGCCCATCAGTTGAGTTTGAGCATTCCTGCAGGCCATAACTTTGTACTCAGAGAATTTTTATTAATTGAATGGAAGACCAATTCGTCTGGCCGGCACAACACGGAAAACGTATTCAATAATTTTCCAATGGGAGAAAGACATCTTTGACAACCTTCTAATATTCGAGAAAAATAATATCGGTGCCTTTTTCTCTGAAATTTCTTGGAATGTATGATTCATATAATTATTCATGAATAAAGACATCTTATTTATGGTTCGTTTGGTTCATAAATTAGAATCATGAGATTAAAATTGTGAGAGAAAATACTATAACGAACTATGAACTATTATTCAAATCATGGTATGAATCCTTCAATCAAACGCCCCCTTAATGATCAGTCATCCACAACTGCGTCTTCCCAACATATTAATATATCGCTCGATTCCATTTATCATCAAAATATGGATTATAATATCAACAATCTTAATATCTTAGCTCCCACATTCCACAACTACAACACTTATTTTTGGCTCAGACTAGTAATTCTTCCAGCTTTAGTAATTCTCCATGCAAATGCAATTTCATTTAACCGCACGGACTTCAGAAACTGGTCTGGCATCGCATTCGGCGGTGATGCCAATACCTATACGACAGATGGAGTCGGCCTCAGGCTCAACGCGAACAAATCCGATAGCACCGGCAGAGCGGTATACGCTGAAGAGATGCAGGTTTGGAACTCTCAAACCGGAAATAAAACGGCGGACTTCGACACTACATTCTCTTTCCTCATGACAATGGAAACAAGTCCTCCTGATCGCGGAGATGGCTTTGCCTTCTTTCTAGCAAAAAACGGTTCTCACGTACCACCGAACGCTAGGGGAGGCTGTTTAGGGCTGATTTCCAATTGTACCAACACCACCGCGGTGAATGGCCTTGTTGCTGTGGAGTTCGATAATCACAAAAACGATCAGTACGAAACAAGCGAGAGCCATATCGCAATCGACGTAAACTCGATCCGTTCGGTGAAGACCGTGAACTTGACAAGTAATTGGAGTTCCGGATCCATAGGTTTTGCGAGGATTTGGTATACTTCTCAGACCAAAACCCTCTCTGTTAGGGTTTCTTACCGTCAGTATGAAACTTACGAGCTTTCTCATCAAATTGATCTATCGCAAGTTCTGCCTGAACACTTAAATTTCGGTTTCTCCGCATCCACTGGTGATAGAACGGCGACGCACGACATCCTTTCTTGGGAGTTTAGCTCGACAAACTTTTCATTAATCGCGCAAGATCTTCCGAAAGAGGGTGGTGGAGTGGATCGAGTCCTCCTGGTGGCTTGTGTAATTGGTGGGTCTTTTCTAATATTTCTTGGTGTTGCGTTGTTGTGTGGCTTTCGTTATTGTAAGAAGAGAACTAGATTCGACGCGTCAAATATGGATCGTGAATTTGAGCATTATATGGGGCCTAAGAAGTTCTCTTATAAAGAATTGGTTAAGGCCACAAACAAGTTTGCTGAAGAAGGTAAACTCGGTGAAGGAGGATTTGGCGAAGTTTACAAAGGCTACTTGAGTTACTTGAATCTAACCGTGGCAGTTAAAAGAGGTTCTAAGCGATCCAAACAAGGAAGAAAAGAGTACATGTCCGAGGTTAAAATAATTAGTAGACTCAGACACAGAAATCTAGTGCAACTAATTGGTTGGTGTCATGAGATCAGCAAAGAGTTCCTTCTTGTCTACGAGTTCCTCCCAAATGGTAGCCTTGATTCTCACTTGTTTGGAAGAAAAAGAAGAATTCTTTCGTGGGAAGTGAGGCATAAAATAGTCCTTGGGCTTGCCTCTGCACTCCTCTACTTGCATGAAGAATCAGAACGATGTGTCCTTCATAGGGATATCAAATCGAGCAACATAATGTTGGATTCAGATTTCAACGCCAAGCTTGGGGATTTCGGCTTAGCAAGGCTAGTGGACGAAGCCACTGGTCCCCAGACAACGGCGTTGGCCGGAACATTGGGCTACATGGCACCGGAGTACATAAGCACGAGCAAGGTGAGCAAGGCGTCGGACGTCTTCAGCTTTGGGGTGGTGGCGTTAGAAATAGCATGTGGGAGAAAATCCATTGAACGCAATTCGGAAGAGGAGGATAGGGTTTCTCTTGTTGCTTGGGTTTGGGCCTTTTACGGAAGTGGAAGGCTTCTTGATGTGGTTGATGAGAGGTTATGCATGGAATTTAACGTGAAACAGATGGAGTGTTTGCTGACCGTTGGATTGTGGTGCGTTCATCCGGACCATAATCTAAGACCGTCCATAAAGGAAGTCATACAAGTCCTTAGTTTTGAAGCGCCATTGCCTGATCTTCCCAAAAACATGCCTGTTCCCAACTATCATGCACCTGAGAACGCTACAATACAAGTTCCTTTATCAACTAGTGTGCCCACCATAACTTATTCGTCAATTTTCTTAGGCCGTTAAGCACTGGTATTACTCTTTTCGTCTCTTTGGTTATTATAATTCCTTTATTTTCGTGCTCATATTGTGTTGGAATGTGCAAAGTACATATCAGGTGTTGAAGTTATAATGTTGAAGTTATAAGAGAGTTGCGAAATATAAATGATATGTGTTATATATTGTATGTTGATTCTCTAAACTATATATATCACTACAATAAAAAGGTTTATTAGCGACGATATAGCTTGATTATTTTATTCATTTTATGTCCTAAAAAAAGACCTCAAGTATCAAAGTGACATTTTTAAAAACTTCAAGATATCTTTATAATATTACGAAAAACACATAACACCAAATTAATTTTTCCGAGTAACACATGGTACTAAGGTGATTATTATCCTTCAATCTAATAATTTTAATCACTTTATATCTAAGCATTGAAACACAATAAATGGCATATATTTACTATAATTATAAGTCTTGCCTACCCAACGTCGTGGTTTTTCCATCAATCATCAATCTAATTGTCACGCCCCAAAAACAAGAGTTAGTGACGTGGAGGCTCATTTAGAAGTTAAACATGATTAGGAAAGTAATTAAATATTTCAAAACATTATAATCAAAATCAAAGGTACACGATTAAAGAAATTTCTAAACAAGCCCAACATTTTGCTGAAATTAAATTACAAGAAAGTGATGAGAACTTTCACACTTTCTGATAAAAGAGGTTTAGAAACTGAGCCTCTGGCATCATTCAGGGTCCACCCACAGAATATACAATATTGTACATTCATGAACATGTAAATATCATTTACAGACATCAAGCACAGTCTAGAAACTTAAGGTTTGCAGTTTCAGAATGTAACAATCCTTTCATTTATACACAATGATGATGCACTCTATTCTCACTATATCCGACGGTAACAGTTTATTCAGTTACTCCGCACTGCTCCTAGCGTCGCCTTGGAGGGGTTTAATATTTATAGAAACAAATAAAATGTGAGCGAAAGGCCCAATAGGATGTAATTTGAAATAAATTTTTACAAACAAGTAAATACTTGAGTAAGCAAGTAAATAAATAATTAAACAAGTAAATGAAAATATTTAGTTCCAACACAACAGCCGGAACCTCACATCCTTTTTCTGAAAGAAAATATAAACTGAAAATTTCATATTACAGGCATCAGCAAGTTATTTATACTATGATAAATTACTTACACAACCATAAGCATAAGCCTTATCACCACCGTAGTGGCCCGGTCCGGGTTTCGGCTTCTGCCCCCAAAAATACGATCTCCATATCCTATCTAGGCCATTAACAGGTTTACCAATTCGGAAGATCTCTTATCTTAAGAAATCCTTCATTAAAACTCTAAAATAGTTCATTATAATTCCAATAGCTAAAATCAAGCTATTGTGTTAAAATGTTTTTCTTTTGCAAACATGCCATTTCTTTAAAACATTTGCAAGGCCAAAACTCTTTTAAAAACAGGCTATCAAAGAAAGGGATAAGAAATCCTACCTCTCAAGTACCAAACCTGGGGCTAGCGTTGCGTTATCCTAGTATCCGCTTCCTCGAAGCCTTTCAATCCGATTCTTCAGCTATCATTTACATAAAACAACACTTTAGGACTAAATTCTCACTCCTAAAGCTGATCATTCTCAATTATACACTTTGATTTCCTATTAGTGTGCCTTAATCCAATTTCATGTTTCATAAGTCATTTTATGTGTCAAGTCATCATTCTAAGGGTTTTAATCTCAAAATATGGATTACATATGCTAATCCATATACTTTAGGTGCCCAAATGAAACTAATTTGGGCTTTCTTCAAAAATCGAGGTCAAAACAGGGTTTCCAAAATGACTCACCCTTTTTCCTTTGTCAATTGGCCGACCGGTGACTGATGAGTGAGTTTTACTCGCTCATTTAGTATCATTTTACACTTAATATCTAGTTGGTTTTTGAGGTTTTTGTTAGTTTTTATGTGTGTTTTCATTCTTTGTTTGAAGGTTAGGTGAAAGTCTATGATTTGGAAGGTTTTAGACAACTTTTGGTGGAAAAAGATAACAAACATAGTGCTTAGGTGCCAATTTGTAGCGTTTTGGCGCTCAGTTTTACAGAAACAGGACATTTGGGCAGAATGGATAGCGTTTTGGCACCCATGATAGCGTTTTGAAGCCCATGATTTTTCACAGCCAGCGTCGCAGTGCTAGGAGCTCAGCGCTGCAGCGCTACGACGCGAGAAAAGAAGCGTTTTGAAGGCCAATTGTGAGAAAACTTACCCGTGTTGACCATAATACTCCAAAACATATAAATAGATGATTCTAGGACAATTAAATGGACTTTTGGACTGGAGAGTGATGGCTGACTTTTGAGAGGAGATTCAAGAAGAGAAAGGAGAATTGAGTACGGAGAAGAAGAACGGCAAAAATCTAGAGACGGAGACGCTTCAATTCAACTCCAAACTAGTTCTTTTCTTTCCTTTCCAATGATTAAGACTTTGTTTAGGAATTTATTTTGTTTAGAGATGAACTAATTTCTTTTTCTGGGGCTATGATGTAGCCGGATTATGAATGTTCGAATTCTCAATTTTCTTTTTAAGTAATTGATGTTTAATCCATATATGCTGAGTATTTCAATTTATTCTTAATGCTTGTGATTGTTTGGCCAACTATTACATGATTTCGTATTTGATTTGAGACTGAGAGGTGATAATTAAATAAGCTCTTAATTGAAATACCATGAGTTGTTCATAGGATAGAAATATCTATGATGCTTGTGTAGTTCTTTTCAATTTCTTGCACTTAATAATTTTTAACAGGTTTAGAAGTCTGACAGAGATGTAGATTTTGCTTGTTGGATTAATATTATTGTTGCTTGAGAAAGAATAATAATTGCTTTAGAGAAATTGCTGTCAGTATAGGATTGAATGTTAATTTTCTTGAATTATGGGAATTTGAACATGATTAATTTTGGTGAAATCAGAAACCTAGAGTTTTAATCTATTGAATTTTATTCTATTGCTTAGCGTTGTTTGATTTATTTAATCGTTTTAGTTTTACTTTACTTAATTTTATAAACGCTCTTTTCGATTATTCAAATAAAATTGGGGTTAATATAATTTCGGTAATTAGTAAACAACAATCCTTGTGGGATGATAATCTTATTCACTATTATATTACTTGATTGCGATAGCGTATACTTGCATTACGATTTTTCACAACAAGTTTTTGGCGCCGTTGCCGGGGATTGTTTTGTTTTTACTAATATCGATACCAACTCTAGTTTTACTTTGGATTTTATTTTGTTATTTATTTTCTTGTTCTTGTTTAGTGCTCTGCAGGAATTTACTTTACGTGCATCTGAAAGCTTGGGAGCAACAGTCTACTACCTCTGGATTTATAAATTGAGCGTACCTATCGAAGAAACTGAAGAGAGAAGAGAAAAGCTGCCATTCAGTTGCCAGAAGTGATGGCTGATCCTGAAGGAGAAAAAAATGGGAATAATCAACCACTGAACAATCCTTCGGTGGTCAGTCAGGCAATGACTTTACGAGATTATGTATTGCCACCAACCGGTGTTCAATCAGTGATCAGGAAGCCTGCTATTCAAGCGAATAATTTTGAATTGAAGCCAGTGATGTTGCAGATGATTCAAGCGATCCAATTTAATGGATTGCCGAATGAAGATCCTAATGCTCACATTGCAAATTTTCTGGAGATTTACGAAACTGTCAAATACAATGGAGTTAATGATGAAGCTCTTCGCCTTTGTTTGTTTCCTTTCTCTTTGAGAGATAAAGCAAAAAGTTGGTTGAATTCATTGCCGCCAAATTCGATCACTAGTTGGGAAGACTTAGTTCAGAAGTTCCTTTCTAAATTTTTTCCACCGGGTAAAACAGCGAAGATGCGCATCAAGATCAACAATTTTGCTCAATATGAAAGTGAAACTCTATATGAAGCATGTGAGAGATATAAGGAGTTACTGAGAAGATGTCCTCATCATGGTCTACCTAAATGGATGCAAGTCCATAATTTCTACAATGGGTTGAGCGGCACTACAAGACTCTGATTGATGCATCTGCAAGCGGAGCTTTAATGAAGAAAACTGAAGATGAAGCACATGAGTTGCTAGAAGATATGACAACCAATAATTACCAGTGGCCTAGTGAAAGAAGCATACCAAGGAAGATAGCCGGACTATATGAGATGGATGCTATCACTAATCTGACTTCCCAAATTGCTTCTCTTCCCAAACAATTGCAAAAGACTCAATTGACAGCCAATGCCATCCAAACATCCTCTTCAGTGTGTGAATTTTGCAGCAGATCTCACCAATGTTTTGAATGTCAAGCTGACAACCCTTTTGCGAAGGTACAAATAGAGCAGGCTCAATATGTGGGAAATTTTAATAGCCAATAGAACAATCCTTACTTAAACAAGTTTAATCAAGGATGGCGTAATCACCCAAACTTGTCTTGGAGAAACACTCAAAATGTGTTGCAGCCCGAACAGAGCAACCCATCACAAGAGGAGAAGGTGAATATGGAAGATGCAATGGCTCAATTGGCTACTTCTCACATGCAATTCATGAATGAAACCAAGAAAAGTTTCTAGAATCAATCGGCTCAGATTAGAAGCTTGGAGGTGCAAATCGGTCAATTGGCTAACATGCTAAATGATCGTCAACAAGGTAATTTGCCAAGTACAACAGTGGTGAATCCAATAGAGTAATGTAAGGCCATTACTTTGAGAAGCGAGAAAGAATTAAATACACTCCCAGAGCATAAGAAGTCTAGCAAAAGTAGTGAAGAGGCTTCGTCACCCAAAGATACTCAATCTTGGGAGAAGAGTGGTAAAATTCCTACAGCTCAACAACCTTTGCCGGTGGAGCCATCACGAAGGATCTCGTTTCCTCAACGCCTTTGAAAGAGTAAGCTTGATAAACAATTTTCAAAGTTTCTGGACATCTTTAAGAAATTGCACATAAACATCCCATTCGCTGAAGCTCTTGAACAAATGCCGAGCCATGTGAAGTTTATGAAAGACATCCTGTCAAACAAGAGGAAACTTGAGGATTATGAAACATTTGCACTTACTAAAGAGTGCAGTGCCATCTTGCAAAGGAAGTTACCTCAGGAGCTCAAAGATCCGGGGAGTTTTACCATCCATTGTTATATTAGAAATTCTATTTTTAAAAAGGCACTATGCGATTTAGGTGTAAGCATTAACTTAATGCCTTTGTCAATTTTCAAAAAACTTGGGCTAGGAGAAGCAAGACTAACCACGGTCTCATTACAATTGGCCGATCGCTCCATCAAACACCCGAGAGGAATTATTGAAGATGTACTCGTCAAGGTTGATAAGTTTTTATTTCCGGCCGATTTTATTATCTTGGATATAGAAGAAGAGGAGGAAATCCCCATTATACTTGGGAGACCATTTTTAGCAACCGGTCGGGCTCTCATTGATGTTCAAAAGGGTGAACTTCGCCTAAGAGTACAAGAGGAGAATGTGATTTTCAATGTATTTAATGCTCTTAAATACCCGCAAGCGAGGGATAGTTGTTTTCGAATTGAAACAATTAACACCATGGTCACTGAGCATCTTGGCCAACCTCAAGAGCCTTTGGAAGCTTGTCTAATTTATCCGGAAGCTACTGCAATAGAAGATAGATCATGAAGCTATAGAGTTTGTGCACTGATGGATTCTTTCAGAACTAACAGTCGGAGGTCACTTCAAGATGAACTACTGCCAGCATTGGCCATCTCTCCACTAATATGTCCCTGATTGCGGTTCCTTCTATCACTCCGTTGTGGCCCACCTAAAGCAGAAGGTCTACCAGAAACAGAAGCTTGACCAGTTGCTTCCCTACTTTGATGATAAGCAAAGTTATCCTGCTCCACGCTTGTAGCAACAGCCACTAGTTCTAAAAAATTTTGAATCCTTAAAGCCACCAATGGCCTCCTTACCGAGTTCTTAAGACCCTTATCAAATTTAAGGCTTTTTAAGTGTTCAGAATCCACCAAAGATGGCATAAACCGGGATAAATAATTAAATTTAGACTCGTATTCTCTCACTGACATATCGCCCTGTTACAAGAACATAACTCCATTGCCTTTTCATCCCGATAACTCTGAGGGAAATATTATTCATTGAAAAGTGCCTCAAATTGATCCCAAGTCATTCCTGTAACATCATGCCTTCTCCTCACCTGCTTCGACCAAGTACTCGTTTGTCCTTCCAGCTTATACACTACAAATTCTACCCAGTATTCCTCCGGCACTCTCATAGTGTTTAAATGTTTCACTATGGAATCGAACCAATATTCAGCCTCCTGGGGTCCACCCTCACTGTTGAATGTAGGGATATGTCCACGTCTAAATTCACGGAAATAACTTTGCTTTCTATCCTCAGTCGGTCGCTCATTCTGAGTACGAGTGGCCATCCCTTGGAAAACGGCATACATGGCATCCATGAATTCTTGATTCTGTGGTGCCGATTAATTAACGGATCTACGATGCGGTGGCATCTCCTTTAACTGAAAAGAAACTAGACTGTTTAGTTGATTCTTGATGTCATAGTACATGTATGTACAATCCTGGAGTTTCTAAATGTAAGGCTCTGATACCAAGTTGTCACGCCCCAAAACAGGGGTTAGTGACGTGGAGACTCGTTAAGAAGTTAAACATCATTAGGAAAGTAATTAAGCATTTCAAAACATTATAATCAAAATCAAAGGTACACTATTAAAGAAATTTCTAAACAAGCCCAACATTTTGCTGAAATTAAATTACAAGAAAGTGGTGGGGACTTTCACACTTTCTAATAAAAGAGGCTTAGAAACTGAGCCTCTGGCATCATTCAGGGTCCACCCACAGGATATACAATATTGTCCATACATGAACATGTAAATATCATTTATAGACATCAACCACAATCTAGAAACTTAAGGTTTACAGTTTCAGAATTTAACAATCCTTACATTTATACACAAGGGTGATGCACTCTATTCTCACTGTATCGGACGGTAGCATTTTATTCAGCTACTCAACACTGCTCCTAGCGTCGGCTGAGAGGGGTTTAATATTTATAGGAACAAATAAAACGTGAGCGAAAGGCCCAGTAGGATGTAATTTGAAATAAATTTTTATAAACAAGTGAATAATTGAGTAAGCAAGTAAATAAATAATTAAATAGTAAATGAAAATATTTAGTTCCAACACAACAGTCAGAACCTCATATATTTTTTCTGAAAGGAAATATAAACTAAAAATTTCATATTACAAGCATCAGCAAGGAATTTATACAATGATAAATTACTTACACAACCATAAGCACAAGCCTTATGACCACCGTAGTGGCCTGGTATGAGTTTCAGCTTCTGCCCCCAAGGATGCGATCGCCATATCCTATCTAGGTTATCAGTAGGTTTCCAGTTCGCAAGATCTCTTATCTTAAGAAATCATTGATTAAAACTCTGAAATAGTTAATTATAATTCCAATAGCTATAATCAAGCTATTGTGTTAAAATATTTTTCTTTCACAAACATGCCATTTCTTCAAAACATTTGCAAGGCCAAAACTTTTTTAAAAACAGGCTATCAAAGAAAGGGATAAGAAATCCTACCTCTCAAGTACCAAACCTGGGGCTAGCGTTGCGTTATCCTAGCCTCAAGTACCAAACTTGGGGCTAGCGTTGCGCTATCCTAGCCTCTACTTCCTCGAAGCCTTTCAATTCGATTCTTCAGCTATCATTTACATAAAACAACACTTTAGGACTAAATTCTCACTCCTAAAGCTAATCATTCTCAATTATACACTTCGATTTCCTATTAGTGTGCCTTAATCCAATTCCATGTTTCATAAGTCATTTTATGTTTCAAGTCATCATTTCAAGGGTTTTAATATCAAAACATGGATTAAAGATGCTAATTCATCTACTTTAGGTGCCCAAATGAAACTAATTTGGGTTCTCTTAGAAAATCGAGGTCAAAATAGGGTTTCCAAAATGACTCACCCTTTTTCCTCTGTCAACTGGCCGAGTGGTGACAGAGATGTGCATCACCACCGATCGGTCGGTGGTGTGCTAACCGGTCGACCACATAGGTCCGCTGGTGGAGATCAGCAGGGTGAGGAAACTCGCTAAATCAGTTCAAAAACCTGCAAATATGAGTTTAATCCGAGATATTTCAAAGTAGAATCACTAAATCCAGGTTCTAAATGATAAACTCAGTCGAAAGAACTAAAAATCCCCAATTTTCATTGTGATTTTACTCAAAAGCTATCAAAATCCATTTCGAACTAAAAATAGGTTTTTTTAATAGAAAAATTCGAGATTCAAGAGAAGTTTTTCAGAAATCTTACCTCAAATCCTTCTCTTGACGTTGAAAATTCCTTTAAATCCTTTTTTGGTTCGAAATTCGGATGATTTGGTACAATTTGAACGAGAGATCGAGTGAGAGAAACGAACGAGAGAGAGTGTGAGAGAAACAAATGAGAGAGAGAGAGAGAGGGAGAGAGAGAGAGAGAGAGAGAGTGACCGACACAGAGAGAGTGGGAGTTACGGGATGGAAAAGGAAAGGAAGAAAAAAGAAGAAAGAAAAAGGGAAAAAAGAAAAAGGCAAGTGTCAAAGATATTTAAGATGACAGTCCAGAAAATATGTCTACACACACTTCTGAGGCGAAAATATAAACACTGAAAACTTTTAAATTCCTTAGAAGTATTTAAATTTAAACATCAGAAACATTTAATGAACAATAATTAATTAATTAATTAAATCACATTAGACAAATTAATAAATCTCAATTATCTTAATTAATCTCATTTAATTTCTCGAAGTGTTAAACTAATATTAATGAGTTGGCCCCTTTACTACTGTATTGACAAGTACCATGGGCTCATGAAACCAAGAACAAAGCATTCCAACCTTGATTGCCAATCAAATTTTGACTCAACTTTAATGTGTATGGCCCTGATTTGGTGGAGGAAAATCATGAGGAAAAAAAATTTCTCATTTCTTAGAAGAGAATAATAAAAGCTTATCAACATTTAAAGGTCTCATTCAGTTTACTGATTCGAATTTTTAATTTAAATTAAGATATTATTTTATGTGAAAATTTTTAATTGTAATAAAAAAAATTAAATATGACTTTTTAAAGAATTTTTAACTATAATAAAACTAAAATTTTAATCTTAAATCAATAAAATAAATGAGACTAAAGTCTCCCAACCTTAATTAGCGGTGGATGGACCTAACCAAAACACACCATCATTAAGCATTAAAATAACATGAAGATAGCTATACCGCTCCGCACGGCTCCGCATCACTTCCAAAACGCCACGTGTAAATGCAAAATAATTGCAACATTTTTTTAATAAAAGCGGGACCCATGTTCAAGTGTGAACTTTGGACGGGCCGCCCGTGACCGCTCGAAAAGCCCGAGGATTTGCCCGAACCCAAACCCGACCCGCCCGAGATTTTCAGGCCGCCCGCCCGAGCCTGAATTTCACCTTAAACGGGCCGCAGGCTTGTATTCGGCGGCCCGAGCCCGCCCGAATTGCCCGAATTTTTTAAACTTTTTTTTAATATTAAGTTATTTATATATATATATATTAGTATTACAATTTATATATATATTATATTTATATATATATTAAATTTGAAATGAACACACGAACTATATAAAAAAATTATTTCTTTATTAATTTTTAAATTTGTAATTCATGATTGCCTCATTAAAAACCTTACCAAGAAAAACCCAATTGGGATAAAAACTTGGCAAGGAAAAAAGAGTGCAATCATTTTGTGACGAATTACAAATTGTACAAACTTACATTGTTTATTAAATTACAAATACAATGTAAAAAGTAAATACATATTTACAAATTACAAATTTACAATTTAATTTGAAGCTAAGGGATCATCTTCAAAATTAAATGTTAATCGATTAAATTCATCGATCCATTCTT